CAACTCAGGTATAAGTTTGAGGACCATTTGAGTAAATAACTCTAACAATAACGATTTTATCTAATTGTGACAAAACAGAAATGCTCTGTTTGTCAACTACTTTCATATCAATATCTCCAATCTTGTGTTCGAATCTCCTGCACCTGAAATTCTATGTTCGAATCCCTACACTAACCCACTGTTTGGATGAGGAAAAATAACTCGGAATTTAGCTAAAAGTCAGGAATTTAAAAAGACAAATTGACAATTTCGTTGTTTGGCATTGAATTTATTAAACGATAAGCGGAAAAAATCGTGGAAATTGGGGCATCAAATTCCTGAGTTTAATTTCCACCAAAATATAGGTCATTTCACAATTTCCATAGTGCCACTACCATTTACAAAATTCTGTCATTTACAAAATTTGACGTTCATAAATCCAAACACTGAAATCTTCAATTACCGGAAATTGAAATTATGGAAATCTAAATTCCGTCATTTTAGAATTTTATGTAATTTTCAATTCATGTTGTTACTTGTGAGAGAATCGCTTGTATGAAGGAAAACAAAAACTCATGTCTTTAAAATTCAAGTTAACTCCAACTTACATTAATTTACCTCCAAACATATAAACTATGGAGGACATAATCAACAAAATACAGATAAGCTACCTAAAATCATGGATGACTATATCATACTCATCATACATACAAATTACAATTAAAATTTTGATTATTATATATTAATGGCTTCTTGATCTCCTAGCCTTGATCAGGAATTGTAGGTATTTCTGGGTTCTGGTAAACAGCAACAGAAACAGGTGTTCCTTGTTCACTGAAGAAAGGTGAGGCTGGACCTGTGTGGTTTGAGAGGCTTAAGGGACTTGGTTGGCCAATGCTGGAGGAGACTGGTGAGGCCTCCACAACATGACCCGAATTCTTGTTTCTAAAAGTGTGGGAGGAAAGATCTCTTTGGAGAAAGATTCTAAGCATGACACCAATTCTTTTCCATACAGAGGTGCCTCTTGTCATTAGGATGTGTCTGTGCATAAAAAGGAATGTGGCTACAGATATCATAAGAGCTGAGGATGAAGCCACCCCAGCAATGAGTAAGAGGCCCCAGAAGCTATTCAGGCCAAGACTTTTGGAATCAGAGAATGGTGATTTTGTATTTTCACAAGTCGCTTGTCTTCCAAACCATTTGTTTTCAATCTCCTTCATCTCATCTCCATCGGTCATGTTCAGAATTGCCCTTGAAACATCAGGTACAAGAGCCGAACCTTTGGGCAATACCTATATATACACACAGAAGATGTTCTTATGTTGTCAGACTGTGAATCAATATGATTGATTAAGTGCCAAAAACGTGTGCTTTTGATTTATAGACTTGTGATCGTGGTTGTGTTTGTGGTTGTGTGTGTGAGAAAGAGAGGTAGCTCTTACAAAGGCAAAGCCATTAGTCTTAAATATTGGTCCAATGATGGTGTATTTGGAGCAATACTTCGCAATAAAAAGCCTCAAGTTTGGGGTTTCATCAACAGCAGCAGCAATGCCACCTTTTGCACTCCCTTTTGTCAAAAGGTCATCACATTCTTCTGGAGATTGATAAGCCTTAATCTTCAAATCATCAAAACCTTGTTTCAACAAAAGTTGGTAGACGAAAGAGCCCTTCGGGTAGCCCACACTCTCCTTGTTCTTTAGAAGCTGGTTTAAATCGGTAAAAGTTGGCTGGAGCTCTTGGATTGTTAAGAGTGAAGTCAGACTAGCTGTGTAACTTTGAGTGAGTATGAGCACAACAAATACCCATACTATCACCACAAATCTAGCCAAGTTGCTAACCACTGCCTCCCCTGTAAATTAATTGAAGTAAAAAAAAATGATGAATGATAAAACAAACAATTGGTAATTCAACATATGCTTCTTAATAAGGGTACTATACTATTACTTACTGTGTGCAAAAACCATGGTTGAGAAGGAGAACCACAAGCCTGTTCCGACTTGATTCGAGAGAGGGCCGCGAAAATCTTCATTGATCCGATGTTCAAGAACCCAAATCACAGAACCAATGAAGATGAAAAAGCAAGAACTTGTAAGCCAGAGGTCCCATGTCAAAGGCTTCAAGAAAACCCATGCATTCTGGCTCTTGCTATCTTTTGTTGGAACTACCATTACTACCCCTGATTCCGTGTATGGCAAGGTAAAGTCCACGTACAAGGACCTGTTCTCTCTGATTGTTGTGGCTGCGGCCAAAGCATCAAAGTTCTGTCAACAAATCAAAGATGTCAACAAATATTAAAGATGTCACCATTTCAATTTTGATCAGAAAATTAGGAATCGAACCGGGTTGTTTTCATTTCGAATTTCAATCTTGAAAAAATTAAATGAGGCTGAAATGATTTTACCCCAAGATAAACTTGATCCACCAACTGATTGTAAGTGCCAGCACTTGTACCATCAGGCTTTGCAAAGGGAATGAAGTCATAAGTTACAGCATATGGTAATTTTTCCATGACAGCATTGAAGATGTCAATGCAGTAGCCAGAAACAAGTGTGTTGTTGGTACTAGGATCACGTACCACCTTAACAAACTCAGGAGAGCCAATCTTCACAGGAACTCCCACTCTCAACTTTTTTTCGTTTGTCGGGATCTCCCATCCCTTGGGAACTGAGGTGGAATCTCCTGGCCATATGATGGGTCCCATGTTGGATTTTGAAGTTGAATATGTTCTGTTTGTGTTTGTTGAGTTCATGGATTTTTTCAAAAGTCCACTCTCTGGTGTCCAGAACCCAATTTCTCTTGCCCCATTGCCATTCACATTGACTATTTCAAAGACTGGAGATTGTAGTTGCCCATTGACAAAACTGAAGTCTCCTGCAAGGCCTTTAAACTTGGTGTTTGATAAGGATTGGAAAAGTTTCGGGCCGTTTTCAGATACACCGAAAGTCAGAAGATCAGTTGATGAGTCGATGGAAGCATTTGTGTTTTGGAAGCTAGAGATTCTGCCAGTCCCAGTCCCATCATTCTCAACTGCCATGGCTAATGCAAAAGCAGCATCATAAGCCCAGAGAGCAAAAACATCCAATTCTACATCAATGATGGTTGGATTTTGCTGTTGGAATTGCGTTTTCCATCGAACTCTAAAATCGATAAGCTCTTCTGTTTTCGGCACACTAGTCCTCACACCCAATACACCTTGCATTGACTTGATGACTGAAGAATCAGTCGAACTTACAAGATTGGTTAACCCATTGGTCATGATCCAAACATAGCCTTCTTTCATCATTCCAATCTCTTGTGCCTTGGCAAAAAGCCTAGCCCCAAGAGACTGCGACATGTGCACAATGAAGACCCTAGTTTGCATAGTCATTAACTTGTAAAGCGCTGCTGTAAGTTGGTCGTCAGTGGCCATTGGAGGTACGGCACAACGGTAGGGGACACGAGCTTGAACGTCATGCAAAGCATCGACCAAGGATGGTAAAACTCCCTCACCAAACTCGTTGTCTACATAGATGGGCACAGCTCTTCTCCACCCAAAGGCTTGAACAATAGCACTTATGGCTTTGACTTGAGAGGAATCATTCTGTGCAGCTCGGAAAAAGTATGAACTCCGAATGGAAGTGAGGGAAGGACTCGTTGCTGAAAATGAGATTATGGGAACCTTGGCTTTGTCTCCAATATCAATTACAAATTTGGCTTGCATTGATGATGTAGGTCCTATGATTGCTTGCACTTGAACATTCTTGATCAGGTCTAAAGCTGTGTTTCAATAGAAAACAGAAACAAACGGCAGAAGAAGTTATTAGAATCACCTCTTTCTCATTAGAAAACAGAAGAAAAGGCAGAGAAAGATCAAATGAAACCCAAAAGGTGAAAAAGAGAGAGACACCTGCAGCAGCTGCATCTACAACATCTTCTCTAGGGTCCCTGATGCTCAAGGCAAGCCTAGTTGTGGAGGAACCATGGGAGGCATAGAAATCTGAGAGGGCCATTTTGATGCAGCTCAACCAAACTTTTCCGGTGAGTGAATCGAGGTCATCAAGAACCACGCCAACATTCACTGGGATCACTGTTCTGTTCTGTCCCATGACCAAGGAAAACTTAATGCTTAAAGAAAGAAGGAAGAAGAAAGAACCAAAGAGGTTCATGTTTCGATCTGTTTTGCAGGCTTCGATAATGTCATTCATTTGGAAGACATTTTTATATAGTATGGTAGGATGGGTGACCGGATTCCTTGCTCGAAATCTCTGATTCTAACAGACGCAAAATCTTGGTATAAATATTTACATGATTGATTGTTTCAAACATTTTCTTATTATTCTCGATGCTCAAAAAGTTACGGTTTGTCAAGTTTGTCAACAGGCTAAACGAACTCAATCCTCTGCACGTTCTGTTTACCTTGACCCAATCAAAGTACAAATTGAAATACAATACCCAAGTCAGAGAGATGTGATATAAAATACTCCATTCAAGCATCTAGTAGCATCAAACTGAAGCTGACATATCGCTTAAACTATGAAGCCAGTTGGCCTGGCTCCTCTTGTAACATGAAGATCCCCCATACCCCATATTTTTGGGGTCCAGAACCAAGTGGGAGGGTATATGATGATGTTAACTTAGGCTTCAATCAAGTATTTGCCGTAACGGTCACAAATGTTTTTCTTTCTTTTTTTGGACCAACCAATCCCGAAACTTGCCCTTTTTCATTTTAAATTTTGGTCAATGTTTTATAGTAAACTGCTTTATTGTTCCATTCTGTAAGTTTTCTTTCCAATTTTCTAGCTTTGTTCCGTGGTCTTCACAATTTGAGAGACAGCGAATCATATTATTATTATTTTTTAAATGCAAGCATTATTTTGCATATTTGGAGCAAGTCTTCCCCAACTAATTAGGAACCCGGGTACAAAATCTGGTCAAATTAATTACCAAGTGTTCCCCAGCAAGAGAACTTTCTAGAAGACAATTACTAAACTAATCACCAAGCAGCCATTCAGTTTCTTCAAGTAGCACATGTGACAATCAAATAATCAGATATGCAGTCTTTTTACTGTATAATTCCATCGATGTACAACTTAACTACTTCATATCAAGAAATATACCTTCAGTCTGAAAAAATTGAAAGTGCATACATAAAAGCAGAAGAAAGAGTGATTGAGCATCACCTAGTCATCTAGCACCATTGATATTAGTTATAACCCCACACAAGCTGAAAATGGAATAACAGAAATACAATTCAAATCATTCTTCTCTTGATGCAGGATCCAACCCGGTTGAAGGGCTGTCAGCGAAATATTCTTGGTGCTTCACATTAACACCATACTGCTCAATTAAGAATAACAAGAGGAGCATATTAATTCAGCGAAAGTTAACATATGAAGAATAAGTAAAAACAAAACCAGCTTGACATTGCACACAAATTATAGGTGGATTCCAGAGAATCTCAATTACAGACCAGGCCATTCAGTGAACATTTGGTTGGTCCAAAACTGACCAGAACCTTTATCAATATTAGATAATTCCATTGATTCCAGACTTATGCAAACATACGACTCAAATAACTAAAATCTTGGTTACCTCACGCAACGCCCTTGAAAGGTCTTCCATCGTCAATATTAGGCGCTTATCCTGTTTCAAAATCAAAGTTAATTTAAGACTAGCCATAATTAGGCAGAATATAAAACACATCTCACCGGGAAAACTATTAGAGTACCTTTTGTTGTTTGTCCCTTTTGTCTTTGACTACAGAAGCTTGTCTTGCTTTGCATTGCCTGTTAACAGGCATGAGCATGTAAACATCTTTTCCACTAGTAATAGCTTAGACACTGGCTAACTACAAGTGCAACAACCAAGTTGTGTAGCTAAATAATTTTGGACCAACAACAGAACCTATGAGTGTAGTTACATATTTCTCGTCTAACATTTGAGAGATCAAAAATTTAATAGTCTTCAATTATATATCCTAACTCAGGAAAAAAATTTGGTCTTTACACATGTGCCTCCCTGTGAACTT